TTTTTTGGTTTATTGTAGAGATGAGGGCTCACCAAGTTGCCCAGGTGGGTCTCGAACCCGTGGGCTTAGGCAATCCACTCACCTCGGCCTCCCAAAGGGATTACAGGCTGAGGCACCGAGCCCGGCTCAGGCCCTGCCTTCTAAAGGCCTGCGGAACTCACCCCTTAGTGCCACCCTCACGGCCACGTTGTCCTCAACCCCGCCCTCCTCCCAGGGTGCCCAGCCTCCTCCCACGGTCTCCAGAGCTGCCCCGACCCACATTCCCCGCGCAGACCTCTCAGGCCTGCAGCCCTCTCCTCCCAGCCGGTGCCTGCTCCAGCTCCTCCCTCACGTCCCTGCCCAAGTCTCCCTCGGCCCCACGCTGTTCCCCGGGCCGTGTGTCCCCGTGTGCGGCCCAGGTGGTGCAGGCGGTTGGGGGCGGCTCACTGGGGGCAAACAGAGAAGAAAGGAAGAAGAACGAGAGGAGGGAGGGAAGGAGGGAAAGGCACGGAGTGGGGCGGCTGCCTGGTCTCAGGGCGCCCAGGTCTCCCCGCGGCGCTTCGTGCGGTGGTGGCGGGTCCTTTCTTGTGTTCTCGCCATTCAGGGACACCTCAGCGAGCTCAGAGGGCTCAGAGGGACCGGGACGCGTCGGCTTCTCACGTCGCCGTCCCCGCGGGGCCCAGTGCGGCCGGCACGGCCCCAGGGCTGAGCCAGGGCGGAACAGCCGCGCCCCCGGGCAGCCGCGCAGTCAGGGCTGGCCTCAGCCTCCACCGCTGCCGCCGGAGGACAGCGCCCACCCCCCGCAGGCAGGGCCCTGGCTGGCCCCGGCCTCGTCTCCTGCAACCCTGGAGCGCTGGGGGCCATGCACCTGCCTGGCGCCTTGCTCTACCTGCTGCATGAGGTTGTAGAGTCTGGCCCGCAGGATGTAGACGTCCGCGTTGGTGTGGTCCTGCTTCAGCTCCTTGGTAATGAGCGAGAGGCAGTCGCCATGCCGTTTGAGGGCCAGGAGACAGGCCATGCTGAGGTGGAGGCAAAGGGGCTCTGTCCTCCCGGGGAGCAGAGGAGGGAGGGGAGAAGGAAGACGGGGAGGAGGTGGGGCGACGTGCTGGGGGGCAGGCACCCACCAGCGGTAACGGAAGCAGGGCTTCTCAGGCTGGAGCTCAGCAGCATGCGAGAAGATGTCCAGGGCATCCAGGAAGGCACACTGCTCAAACAGGCACTGGCCCTGGGGATGCAGGGGACAGTTAGTTCTGCACGTGACCCCAGTCCAGTAGTACCCACCAGCCGGCAAGGGGCAACGCTGGAGCCGAAGGAGAGAGAGCCGAGAGACAGGACAGAGCCTTTTAGACCTGGGAGAGACTTGAAGAGACAGACACGGAGACAGGGATGGAGAGAGATAGAGCTGGGGAGAAACAGCAAGAGACAGACATAGTTTGGGCACCATGGGCTGCAGCGGCTCACGCCTGTAATCCCAGCACTCTGGGAGGCTGAGGCAGGATGACTGCTTGAGCCCAGGAGTTCAAGACCAGCCTGGGCAACATAGTGAGACCTTGTCTCTACAAAAACATTCAAAAATTAGCGAGGTGGCATGTGCCCATAGTCCCAGCTACTGAGGCAGGAGGATCACTTGAGCCCAGGAGGACCAGGCTGTGGGAGCCACAATCATGCCACTGCATTCCAGCCTGGGTGACAGAGTGAGACCCTGACTCAAAAAACAAACAACAAAAAAGAGACATCAAAGTTGTCCCCGTGGGAGGGGTCTCTGCTGGTGTTTCGTACCTTGGTCTTCTTTACATTGAATTGCAACTGGCAGTCACTGTTACCTTTTCAATGCTAGCTCTGTGCTAACCAAGACAGTGGCCCCTAGCTTCATGTGGCTGTATGGATGTCAGTTAAATATAATACACAGTTCAGTTCTTCAGTCACTTTTGCCACATTTCAAGGGCTCAGCGGTTCCATGTGGCTGGGGGCTACCAGACTGGCCAGTGCAGAAAGCCCGAAGGGACAGTGATACAAAGCTGGAGCTAGCCCTGGCAGTAAACCAGCCTGGGAGGTGAGAGGGGCAGCAGATGGGGGCTTGGACACAGGGACAGGGAGCCCCCGGGAGGCAGCGCGGGTCCCAGGGGCCAGGAGAGTCCCAGGGCTGGAGGGCAAGCAGCGGGTGGTGGGCGTCCTGCATGGGCCCAGGACACCTGCAGGTAAAGCACAAAGGCGAGCCGCTCCAGGCACTTGGTGTCTGGCCGGAAGGCGTAGGCTCTTCGCAGGTTCTGCGCAGCTGAGGAGAAGTCACAGAGCTGGATGTAGGCCTCGGCCCGCCAGGCGTAGAAGTCCACCTGAGGAGGAGGGGACCCAGGCTGCTGTGTGCGCCCCACCGCCCGTCCTCCCAAGGTTCGACACCCACTTCCACTCAGGAACTTGGTGGCCTGGTGGGTGTGGCACGGCGGGGGAAGGCATGAGGTGGCCATTGTCTGTGCCCACCCAGGCTCGCCCTTACCAGCTGGGAGTCCAGGTGGAGGCCGCGGGAGAAGAATAGTACAGCCATCTCCCAGTCCTCTCGCTCCAAGCACTGGTGGGCTTTCTGGTAGCTGTGGGGGTGGGGGACAGGCGAGGCCCTGGCCCTGACTTCGCACCAGCCCTGGGGCACACGGCTGGGGTGGAGAGGAGGGGTTTGGGCGGACAGGCAGGAGGGGCAGGCAGAAACCCAGGGAGAGCAGGCTGGCCTTCTCCGAGCCCATCCAGGCCATCAGCCGTCTGCCCACTGAGGTGGGAGAGCCCCGTTACCCCGGAGTTCACAGAGGCCCAGACAGAGAGAAACTGGCTCGAGAGGCACAGCATGTCAGTGGCAGTGTGGGGCAGGAGCGGGGGACGTGAGGCGTGGTCCTCACTCACTATTCCATGACTTTGAGGGGCACTGTGAGTCCCGTGACCTTTGGTTTTATATCGTGGAGCCTCTGGAACACCTGGCAGGTCCCAAAGATTCGCTGCAGCGTCCCCTTGGGGGCGGGGATCACCAGTGGCCTGGGGATGTCCTGTGAGGGGGCCTGGTCGACCTCCAGGGCATCCTGGAACCGAAGGACGGCAAGTTGGGACGGGCCCCGGGACAGCCCAAGCCCACCGACATCCCGCCACCCCCACCCCAGTGTCTTGTGGTTGAGGCCTGGTGGCAGGCACCCCCAATCCGGGGTCCCGCGGCACGCCCAACCCCATTCCTCCACGTGCCGGCCTCTCTCCCTCCCCCAGGGTCAAGGTCAGGGATCAGGTCGCCCGCTGCTCTCCCAGGCCTCCGGGCCCCCGCCCCAGCTACTGCTCCCCAGGCCCAAACGTCGCCAGCGCCGCCCGTCCCACGTCGCAGGCCTCGCGGCCCCTACGGCCCCGTGGGTGTCCCTCAGGACCCTCCCGCCCAGCAGGCCCCGCCGAGCACCGAGCTGGCGTCCGCCCAGGCTTTCCAGGGAGGCCGCCCTCCCCGCCGGCCACCCAAGCCAGACAACGCTGCCCCATCCGTGCTCAAATCCCGCCGGGATCTCTCGGATCCCGCTCGGCGCTCGTCCGCTGGCGGGGGCAAGGCTGGCTCCGGCCGCGCCCCC